GTGGAAGGTCATGCAAAGCTATATCGACATTAGATACTTTTGGCATATCTTCAGATGTTGAATCAACAAACTCCTTATTTGATTCTTCAATATCCAATAAATTAAGTTTTGCAATTCCATTTTGTAAACTTTGAAATGCAATATCATGATGTTTTTTGAATTATGAACCTCTTTCTGATAGTTCAAGGGAGTGAACCATAATACTATTAACCAATAAAGTGTCAGAAGCATTGTTGCTTCTTTTTTGAAATTCTTCAATTGTTACTTCTTTTGTCTTTTCTTTCTTAGCATTAATGGATCATCTATGTAAAACATACTGCAAAGGGAGATAATAAACATTTTTCTTTATAAATACACATAATACATGTCTACAAAGAGTACTTGAAAATTCAAACTTGTGACAACTACAATTTTATTCTTTTGAAGTGACATGAAAAGTCACATAGTAGTTAGGTTTGTCTTTGTAAATTTCACGAACTTTTTACGTTGATATTTCCTTAAAAAACTTAACCTTTTTTGTGATAAATAATTGAGAACCAGCCAACCCATCTTGAAATATTTTAAACATTTTTCTTGTATAAACTTTTGAAGCTTCTTCTTCCATGGGATATAAAGTTCGTAAAAGTGGCTTTGAATTCTTGTTTTGAAAGTTTTCTCTCTTTCCTTGTTGTAACGTGCATCAAGACCATTTTCATATTGTGTCACAAACTGGCTTAATGGAGTACTTAAGTTCAAAAGATCCTTAAAATATTTATTCATACTTTCACTCCTTTAAGTGATAGACATTCTTGCACAAAAATTGTGACGTACATAAGCAAGAATCCATTTTCTTGGATAAAGTATATCTTATTTAGCCACTGATTATCCTATAATCCATATTTATCTATCTTTACTTCCCAATCAGAATTAAATTCTTCGACAGTGGTAGATTGGTAGATGCACTTGTAAAATTGATTTTTAAATTCACTATGTTCGTGATGGACACGATTCAAGTACTCAGGAACTTTTTTCTCAATATGCCAAACAATAATGATGATGATTAACCTCTGGAAATACCTTTGCAATTGCATTACTAATAACAGAATCCTGATCTGAGATGATAGTTTTAGGACAAATTCCACCCATTGCTTCTAACCAAGTATTTAGCAACCAAACAAAACTCTCTATAGTTTCATCCCATAATGAAGCACAACCAAAAATAATGGATTGTTGATGATGATTAGCTCCCGTGAATAAAACAAAAGGCATTTTGTATTTATTTGTCAAGTATGTCAGATCAAAAGTAACAACATCACCAAAGTATTTGTAGGCCATTTTGGACCTTGAATCAATCCAAAAGCAATTTGCTAATCTTCCTTCAATTGATAACTTTTAAAGTATAATAACATCATTTGGGTATCTCCATTTTCTAACTTGTTTTGTCTCTTTTCAGTTAAGTAATTGATAACATCTTGTTGACTAAATCTAACATTATCATTACCACCAATTTCAGGACATAAGGCAAATCTTATTTTACTAGGGCCTAAACTAGAATCATCCAACACATTAGTAAGTTTTCTTTTTGCACTTTAGTATTCTTTCTATGTACTTGAAGAAACTCTAAGCTTCTAGGAGAAAATATTTCATGATTGTGATCCCTTAAAAATCTTGAAACAACTCATACTTCTCCATTTTTCTTCAAATATAGCATTGTCTTGCATCATACCCTTGTTTCACCGTGTACGATAATACTATTACTTTCTTCTTTCACATGTTTTTTTGCCCGAAATCCCTCATTTTAACAAAGAAATTCTTGACTTATTGTCATACCATTTATTCTTGATTTAGTAACACGACCCATACGAAAGCTAAAACCTTTGTTCTTAGCATACTTTGTGTAATAAATTCTTGTCTCTTCAATTGATGCAAACTCCATTCTTTTGTATGGCTCTAAAGGGGGCTATGCTACTAGTTTGCTATTGAGAGGATCAATACCAACCACACTTTCAAACATGTCATCAGAGTTAACTATGGTTAAATCTTCATGTATGTTTTGCATCTTTTAATTTGTTATAATAATACAAATAACAGATAAACATAATAATAAAAATAATGTTGCACTAGTAAAGTTAGTAAAATTGAATGGATTACTTATCTTAGAGCTGACAAAACGGGCTGGCCCATGACGGGCTCGGGATTTGTTCGAGTCGGGCTAAAAAGCCCGGATTATAAACGGGCCACAATTTGATTGACCAAGCCCGACCCTTCACAGACTACGGTTTATCGGGCCGACCCGATTTATATTTATAATTTTGTTTTTTTTTTAAATTAAAAAGTGAGTGTTTTATTTAAAAAATAATATAATACTATTAGTATATTGTACACACCATACTCTAGTTTAGAGCTGGCAAAACGGACTACCCGGTCCGTGACGGGCTGACCCATGACGGACTCGGGCTTTGTTCGGGTTAAAAAGCCCGGATTATAAACGGGTCACAATTTGATTGACCAAGCCCGGTCCTTCACGAGCTACGATTTTTCAGGCCAACCCGGTTTATATTTATAATTTTATTTTTTTAAAATTAAAAAGTGAGTGTTTTATTTAAAAAATAATATAATACTATTAGTATATTGTACACACCATACTCTAGTTTTATCATAGCGTCAAATTACAACAGTATGACATTTCACATAGAAAATGCATCAGTATGACATTTCATTTCACTTAGAAAATGATAATAATGTTGTACACACCAAAATATTACTTATAACATTTCCCTTGGTGCATTGTTTGTCTTTTTTCTTTTGAATAAGGATTCAAAACAAAGTAAAATTCTCAATGATAACATTAAGTTTTACAAATTGGGTAATGTTAACTTGTGCCCCAGGGGCACAAGTTAAAAACTAAATTAAGAAATATTGTCTTGGAAATTGTGTACAGACTTTAATTAAAGTATAAAATTAATTTTTAAATTGTTTTTTCCAATACAACTTTACTATAAGTGAGTTTTTTAACTTGTGCCCCTAGGACACAAGTTAGCATTACCCTTACAAATTAAATTAACAATAAGTTCTAAAATTCAATTAAAAAAACTAAGCGGGCTACCCGCTACCCGGTCGGGCTAGCCCGGTAAAACATCGAGCTTTTAACGGTTCGGTCTTAAAAGTCTGGATAATAAATGAGCCTTATTTTTTTTGTTCAAGCCCAGATTTTTTGGCGGGCTTTCGGGCCGGCCCGGTTGGTCCGGCCCATTTTGCCGGCTCTACTCTAGTTTTATCATAGCGTCAAATTACAATAGTATGACATTTCATATATAAAATGCATCCGTATGACATTTCATTTTCCTTAGAAAATGATAATAATGTTGTACACACCAAAATATAACTTATAACATTTTCCTTGGTGCATTGTTTGTCTTTTTTCATTTGAACAAGGATTCAAAACAAAGTAAGATTCTCAATGATATAACATTAAGTTTTATAAATTAAACTAACAATAAGGTCTAAAATTCATTAAAAAAAACTAAACGGGCTACCCGCTACCCGGTCGGACTAGCCCGGTTAAACATCGAGCTTTTAACGGTTCGGGCTTAAAAGCTCAAATAATAAATGAGCCTTATTTTTTTTGTTTAAGCTCAGATTTTTTGGCGGGCTTTCGGGCTGGCCCGGTTGGTCCGACCCATTTTGCCGACTCTGACTTATCTTCTCTTTTCTTAATCAATTATCATATATTTAATTTTAACTTAAAAATACTAATAATAATCTATTTTAATTTTATAATTTTTACATAATAGAATAAAATTTTAAAAAAATGAAGAGCTTTTTTTGTTTATCAAAATGAAAACGAAAGTATAAGATGTATTACATAATGCTAAAAATAAAAATAAAACAATTAAAATATTTTTAATTAAATATAATTAAGAGATTAAGTGGAATATGCTGTCAATTAAAAACTACTTTACACTATCATCTAATTAAAATAAATAATTTTGATACATAATTATAAAATTAAAAAAATTAAATTATAATATAATTATTTTAATAACTATTTCTTTTATATTTTTCTTTTCTCACGTGTTAAAATGGTTTATTCTAATTAAATGTCAATATAAAATAATTTTACATTCACATTTTATTCCAATTAATTTCTATAATTAATAAAAAATAACTTTTAAAAAACTTAAGAAAAATATTAATTGTGATAACAGAGAAATAAATAGTAATAACAAGAACAAAAAGGAAAATTAAAAATTAATAGGAAAAAAATTCAAATTACTTCAATAACCTTTTATTTAAGTAATTTTCTAAAAAAAAGTTAAGCTATAGTCAAAATTACATGAATGTTGATGGTTGATTAAAACAATTATTTAGTAAAACATAAAAAACAAATCAAGTTTTATTTATTGAAACAGTCTATTTTGTTTAAAAGAAAAAGTTGAAGAAGTAAATAAAAGTACCCGAAGCGACCGAATTGAATAAACATTTATCTCTTTCAATCATAACGAAATTAAAAGGAAGAAGAAGACGGGATCGGAATTAACTGCGGTCGGCAACTCACCACATTCACAACTCACATATTTTAACCCGTCCGATTATAATCAACGGTCCTAATTTCAAACATACATTTCCAAAATTATAAAATTAAAACAAAACCTGTTATTTACAAACCGTCCGATCAAAATCAACGGCCATTGATTTGATAACTGTGTGAATGCATTAAATCCATATCAAAGAAAGCGAGTGAGAAGAGAGTCCTAAAATGAGTGCGTACATAAATAGATGAAAATAGAAAATAATAAAAATAAATAAAAATAGTAAAAGAATTGGACAGTTGGGTTTTCTCTTCACCCCATAAATAAACCACCTTACCTCACTACTATCTCTCCCTCCTCACATTCCAACTCTTTTCTTCTTGTAACAACTTCCAGAAAACAACAGTTTCAGTTTTTCTACAAACAATCAAAAACATTGTTTCGCACTTTTCAAAAACTCTTCAAAATCTTCATTGTTTTTTCTTTCTAATGGAAGTTGAGACTCACTCTGCCTTTGATCTTAACCCGAATTCAAACCCCTATGACATTCACCCGTCGGGTTTTCGGACCTCCGAATACCCCGACCCGACATTCCGTCTCTCCCTTCACGATGATACGCCATTATCTGAAACTTTTCAGTTGTCGGAGGAGCTGCACGCGCTTGGAAGCGCGTGTTCTCAGTCCAACGCTGCTGTTTGTGTTCAGAAAGTCTACCGTGGTTACCGTACACGGCGGAGGTTGGCTGATTCCGCCGTTGTCGCTGAAGAACTATGGTGAGACTTGCCTACCATCTGCATGCAATCTATTTTTATGTTTATATTATTACTGTAATTTTTAAATTTTTTTAATTTATTTTATATTTTCACATTTTTGTGATTTGATTTTGATATTTGTTAGGTGGCAAGCGATAGATTTTTGGAGGTTGAATCGTAGTACGATTTCGTTCTTTAATTTGCCTGAAACTGCTGCGTCTCGCTGGTCTCGAGTCACACTCAATGCTTCCAAGGTCTTTCTCTCTAATTTTGCTTTTTTTTTTCTGTATATTTATTCAATATTTCCTTAATTATTTTGTGTGGATTAGTTAAGAGCAGTAGAATGAAATGGGAAGAAATCTCTTCCTGCGAGGTTCCGGGTTCGACCCGAGCCTGAGGACGCAGAGTGGGCGCAAAGGATATTAGATTTTTACCAATTTTTTTGTCGAGTAGTACTTGTGTACTGCTGTATTCATTTATGGTGCTTTTATTTTTCATTTTGTTACTCGTCATAATTGTTGGATGGAGATCAAACTGTCTAGATTTAGTTAGGTATTTTTAAATTGAAACCGTTTGATCTCGATCTAACGATCTAAAATGAGGGTTTTTGGGTTGAATTCTAAAGTCAACAAATTTTGAGGCAGGTTGGTAAAGGACTGTCCTTAGACGCCAAAGCACAAAAATTGGCTTTTCAGCACTGGATTGAAGCTGTGAGTATGACTGTTTTATTTTTTTAATGCATGACCAATTATTATTTGTTTATAGTTTTTCAATTTTAATTGGTCTTGACATGAAATGTAGATTGATCCACGCCATCGCTATGGACACAACTTGCATTATTATTACGAAGAATGGTGCAAAACTGATTCTGGTCAGCCTTTCTTTTATTGGTAAGATCAATTTTTTTCTTGAGGTTTAATTTTGAATATGATTTGTATACTGTTGTCATATTTTTTATTGGTTATTTAATGTTCATCTTAGACGATTTCAATGTGAAAATAAGACTGAGTCAAAATGAAATGTGCAAGTTCAGAGGATATAGTTTTATGTTTTCTAACTTAATTTTTCTTGAAATCTATTCTACAGGTTGGATTTGGGGAACGGGAAAACTCTTGATCTTGATCGGTGTTCCCGATCAAAGCTTCGAAAACAATGCATAAAGTATCTTGGACCTGTATGTGCATGCATCTTCTGATTGAATTTATTATCTTTTTGTTTTGTTTGTTTAGTTTCTTTATACTGCATAATTTCAAAAGTTCTGGCTTGTTGCTGCTGTTCTTACTGGTTAATTGTTCTTCGTATTTTCGTAAACTAGCAAGAGAGAGAGAACTATGAATATATTGTCTGCGATGGAAAAATTATCAACAACCAATCTGGAGATTTTCTTCATACCAAAAAGGATACTGCAGATGCTAAGTGGATATTTGTAATGAGCACTGAGAAGAAACTTTATGCTGGAAAGGTAACAATTAGTTCAAGCTATATTGTTTCTAGTTTTCGATTTTCTTGCTCAATTCAGTCCTCTTGATACATTGTTATAACCTCGCAGAAAAAGAAGGGACAATTCCATCATTCTTCCTTTTTGGCTGGTGGAGCTACCTTAGCTGCGGGACGGCTCGAAGCTGAGGATGGGGTTCTAAAGGTATAATTAACTTCATAACGTTGCATGATGGGACGTTTCTTTTTTACGACACTGTAATATATATGCGAAAACAAAATGGTTGATTCTTGGTTGTTTGACTTTTCAGTCCATCTCTGCATATAGTGGACACTATCGGCCAACAGACGAAACGCTTGACGCCTTCTTATCATATCTCAGGGAAAATGGTGTCAATCTTGACGAAGTTGAGGTAGTTGATTACCTTCAAAACATGTTTATGACTTTGATTAGTGTTATCATAATTTTTTGTATAAAGTAATTGTTCGGCCCTACTACCTTTGTTGCGTTAATTTTCGCCTTCTATATCTGCAGATTTATCTGAACAATCTCGAATGTTTCTTGTTGCTTTGATTTTCTTGTTTTAGATTCGCAAACCAAATGATGACCTTGATAATTATGAGGAAGGCAAGCTTGGCGAGAGATCCTTAACAACTGGAATCTCCATCACTTCTGAGATATCTGAGGAAACCGAGAACACTCCATCCCAAGATAAGGAAGACCCTCCTCAGCCCGAAATCACTGTTGGTAGTTACAAAAGGACTCTGTCAGGTGGTCTTCAGAGTCCACGCGCGACTGAGGTGTCCAAGACTTCTATATTGCAAAGAATCAATTCCAAGAAGGGTTCACAGTCCTACCAACTGGGACATAGCCTTTTGCGCAAATGGTCGACTGGAGCAGGACCTAGAATCGGCTGTGTTAACGATTATCCCGTGGAGCTTAGACTACAGGCATTGGAAATGGTTAACCTTTCTCCAAAACTTCCACCATCTCCATTGTCATGCATGTTAAGGGGCGGTCTTGTTTCGCCTACAGCTCCTCCGACACCCAACACGGTGCAAATTTACAAGGATGAGAGTCTGGTTAATTGAAATGAAGTACTTATGATCTTAGGATTATGCTTTCAGCTCAGTTTAGTGATGCTTTAAATTTGATATAAATAAAAGTGATGCTTTAATTTTTCTTAAATGTCGAGGACTTGGTGTTGTGTATTAAAAATAAAATAAAATTTTATTTCTTTTTATCATCTTAGATCATGTAAGTTACCACGTAAGTGAAGATAATTGAAGATAGGTTTAATGTGACCCTTAAGGGAGTATAGATTGGTTGAAAATTTTGAGAGAGAGATGTGATTCTTGTGAAGTACAAAAATGGTAAGTTTAGTTTGAATTCAACTTTGGGCTAGACGAAAATGATTTTGAAAGTATAAAATTGATTTTGATATGATAGGTGTTTTTGAGTAGAACTAGTTTTACTTTCATTATTAATTCAACTTAATTTGAAGTCAAGATTTGAAACTTTTGCTTTCAAAATTAAATTTAAACACAATTTATTGTTTAATTCATTTTTACGTTAATGCATAAAATGTCTTTTTTAATAAAAAAAATAATACTACCCGTTAAAATTAATATTTATCACGGAGCACTTGAATGAGATTATATAAATCTCTTTCCAATTAAATTTAGTTTTAGTAAATCTCTTTCCAATTGAATGAGATTATATAAATCTCTTTCCAATTAAATTTAATTTTGCGTAAGGGTTGGTCCCTGAAGAAGAGCCGAGAGTTGGATCGTATTCGACGATGAACCAACCTCTGATACAATCCAAAATAATATATAAATATAAAATTAATATATAAATATAAATAAATATATAAACATAAATAAATATTACCATCAACATAAACTCAAATAACTTATATCAATTTATTCTCACTAAATTTTAAATTAAAATAGAATGTTACTATCTCTGCTCACAACATGTTCGTACGACCAACAAAACACACTTATAAACATTTGCTACTTCTCACATTTTATTGCAGATTCCTAATTATATAGGAGTATGCTTAAATCATCAATTGATATGTTTATTTTCTTGGGTCAGAACATCGAGTGATATGTTTAAAGTTGCGGTGACAATCGTAAAATAAAAATAAAAATTTATCATTGAAGACCAGACACATCTCTCATGTCAGCTTTTACATGACATGTGTGTTTTAATTAATAATTTCTGTCTCACAAAATTTATTTATCTTAATATCACATGACCATTTGAAGATGATGTGAAGTTTGAATATTGAACTGAGGTGGACTTCCAGCAAGTAGCCAAAGCACAGAAAAGGACAATATGCATAAGATAATGTTGTGGGTTTATGTCGGTATCTATGTTTTTGTGGATGTTTTTCAAAATTGAAAATAGATATTATCACCTAATATTAATTAGTTTTTTCTGAACCAACAAAATAAAGCATTTATTTCATTTATATGACTGTAAGACAAAGTGATGTTTCTCTTGTTATTACTTTTGTGATATTTGCCTCATGTGGGAGTTTATCATCTTGATGAGGATGTTTACATTTTTTGCAACAGTTTGATTCTTATGATTGATGAAAAGTAGAATTATGCTTATAGGTGGTACAGCTCTCTTGGTGATGAGTTTTGTTTTGTTTCTTTATTTTAGAAATCATGTTGGTGATTAGTTGCTTTCATGTATTAAATATTTGTTATGTATGGTGTGGTTCATGAGTAGATGGGTATCCAAAAATATTGATTAGGAAATTTATAAAATTATTATTTTCTAACTAATGGATGAATTCTAAGAATCAATGTGTTTATAGTTTAAGAGAGTTATTGTTTCATGTTTAAAAATCACATTCTCGAAATTATTTAAGTAAGAAATACTAAATATTCATGTTTGTAAATAGTTCATATCCGCTCCATTTTATTATATATGTTCTATTTAGTCATGTTCATTGCATAGATGTGTGACAAGTGAATAAAAAGCCTAATGGTTTAAATCTAAAATTGAGAGCAATTATTTGGTGAGTTTAATAGTTATGTTGTTGTTGAATTTGTCGAAAGCTTCTTGTTGTATATGTTTTTATTTGAAATTTTCATTTTTGAGTCGAAGTAGAGGAGAGAAGGCTTGAGTCTTACCGCTCAAATTTGAAATAAATCTCCTTAAAAAATTAATCTTTTTAAGCAGCGACTGCAATTCCTTCTTTGTTGATGGCGCATTAGCTTCCAAGATAGCCTTTGTTTTATTCTGGTTTATTTCAATCCCCTTTTTATGAACTACAAAGCCTAGAAAATCTCCAGCCTGTACACAAAAAGCACACTTTAGTGGATTCATCTTTAGACCATACTTTCCCATTCTTTCGAATGCTTGTCGAAGATGATCTAGGTGATTGATTCCTGAAACAGACTTAACAACAATATCATCAATCTAAATCTGCATAAAGGTTTCTATGAAATCATGAAAAATTGAATTCATTGCCCTTTGATAAGTTGCCCTAGCATTTTTTAAACCAAAAGGCATCACCACCCATTCATAGGTGCCTAAGACTCCAGGACATCGAAATATCGTTTTTGGCACATCTTCATCAGCAATGAAAATTTGATTATAACCAGATTACCCGTTGGGCATACTAAGATACTCATGGCCTGCAGTGGAGTCGACAAGCATTTCTGCCACAGGCATTGGGTACTCATCTTTTGAGGTTGCAGCATTCAGATCTCTGAAATCAATGAAAACCCTCAAAGTCCCATTATTTTTAATAACATGGACTATATTAGCAATCCACTCAACATATCCAGTTGTGCGAATGAACTTACATTTGAGGAGTCTTTCGACCTCTTGCTTGATCTTCGACAAAATCTCAGGTGCAAATCTCCTTGGATTTTGTTTGGTTGGCTTTCTCCCAAGCTTGATAGGTAGCTTTAGTTCGACTAACTCCCTGCTCAATCCTGGAATTTCACAATAATCCCAAACAAAACAGTCTTTGAACTCCTTCAGAAGATGCATCACTTTGGCCTTGAGTTGTGGGCCAAGGTTCGCACTAATGTACGTTGGCCTTTTTTCTTCGCCTTCTCCCAAATCAACTTCTTATAAAGGATCATGCACTAGCATCTTCACATTTGACGCCAGCGAGTCCTTTTCGAATCCCAAAGGATCTTCATCATAAATTGCGTCGAGCCTCTGGCCTTGCGTTTCTTATTTATTCTTGTCAGGCCGCTCTGGTTCAGAGTCTCTACCAGGCCCCTTCAGGTGCTTATCAACTTCTCTGGCTTCGACAACCATGTACTTAACTTCGGCCTCTAAGGCTGTTTTTAATCTTTTTTTGGCTATGTAAGCCAAAATCTTTTTCCACGTCTTAGACTCAGTCATGATCCCCATACTCATCTCCCTAGCCAGTTGGTTGGATATACGACGTCCCTTTAAATTTGAGGTCTTGTCCAACAACCTCTTTATCCCATTGGAACCCATACTTTGGGTCTAAATGAATGGAGTAACAAGCAGCATCTGTTGGGTCGAATGCAAAATCAGCTGGTTGACAAGGAGCAATATTTTCTAATTTCCTTTCGAATTTCCTCTTATCTATATGATTGGCTTTAGCTAAAAAGTAACTCTGGTCAGCCTCAATGTTTTCTACTATACCATCATTTCACAAAATAGTTATCCTCTAGTGCATTGAGGAAGGAACAACTCTTATACCATGGATCTACTCTCGACCCAACAACAAATTGTAATTGGCCTTCGAATCGACAACCATGAACATTATCGGTCTCATTATTGTTCCCATAGTTAGTCCTAATTGAATCATGCCAAGCGTGCATCTAACTTTCCCCTCATAATTTGACAAAACTATATTATGAAGTTTTAGATTTGTATCAAATTTTCCTACTTTTTGTAGCATATAATACGACATCAGATTCACTGTCGCTCCTCAATCCACAAGAATCTTACTAATCACCATGTTTTCGACCTTCCCCCTAACAAAGTGAGGCTTAAGATGGTTCTTCATCGCTCTATCTGGCCTTTCGAAGAAGGCATTCTGCTCTTCAATGTAGTCGTTGATCAAAATATAATAACATCCTAGCTTATGTTTAGCCATTTCAGCTTTCATTACATTATTAGGTTCATCTACGTCAGTCACCTGGTCATATTCCCTGGGAATTACAGAGACCATATTGCAAGCTATATCCAATGAAGCCTCTAATTTTGTATCTAAGAAATTATCAGTCAGCATATCTTCATCCTTTTCTATATCTATAGGTTTACTCTTAAAATCCTTTTGTTGATTAGGAAACAACCTCCTTCCAACTGGCTTCTTTTCCTCGACACCACCGTTTTTCTATGAAAGCACATTCGTACTGGATTCATTTATAGCCTTTTCATTTGCTTCTCTCTCAGCTTTCCTTCTTCTTTATTGTCTGCACCATTGAGACCTCGACATTGGATTCTTGCCTTTGTAATTTTCAGGCCAGTATGCTTGCTTCTTCGACATCTGAAACCCTTTCCTGTAGGACATTGACGAACCACGCTCCACTTCAAAACTCTGCCACTTTTCTTGGCCTCTTTCTCATTTTTCAGCTAACCTCGCCCACTTTCCTTTGGGTACATCGACAACTGGCTTGAATATGGAAGGCCTGTTTGGTTGGAGACTTGGGCCTCCCTGCTTAATTCTTCTAGGGAATCCTCTCTTATCAAAGGTAAAACTGCTGCGAGTATCCTTCCAATTTCCCCTTCGGCTGGCAATTCGAACCCTTTCAATATTTTCAACTACTTTCTTATCGAACACAGAACTGCACCTAGGGCACATCATAACTTCTGATCTCTTCTTCTGGCAACATTGAAGGAATTCCAGCAAAGTTTCATCATCTTTGGGATAGGCCACCCCTATTTGTTATTCATTTTGACGAGCTTTTTCCTCATCAGATGTCTTTCGTCACTAACTTCGACCATATGGACTTCCAAGTTAGCACCATCATTAATCTTCAAATCTTTTGGTTTAACCATAAGGCCCTCATTGGGCTCATTCATCTTCTCGACTTCAAGGCCATCAGAAGCCTTAATTTTCTCAATTTTAAGG